CAAGAAATTAGTTATTTTTGGAAAGTAAACTGAGCATTTAAAGAATAATTTAACACTGTTTACTGTGACAACAGCGCATTTGAAACAGAACATTTTCGCGTTGTTTTAATTTCGTTTTTATGGACTTACTGCGAAATTAAAAACCACGCTGATATTTTCTACAGTAGACTAAAAAGCCATGTTTCAAGAGATTATAGACCGATTTCTTAAAAATTGTTAGAAACAAAACCATTTTTTTTTACATAAAAGCCATTCGTACAGTAACAGCGAGGGACTTCCGCGATCGCGTCCATCGCTACGAACCGGTAACCGGTAGTCGATCCGCCGGCGCCCAATTCACGATCATTACGTGCCAAAATTTCAACTTTGTCTTGCGCTTAATTGAGGTGTAAAATACAAAGTTTTTGTGGCACTGGCGCCTAATTGAAGGTGGCGCTTAACTGAAGACAAATACGGTAATGCCATCTTTCTGTTTGTTTTACTGTGCACCCTTGTACAATGAGGTCAAGGATTTTGGCATGTTTGTTTGTTTGTTACTTGAATTGCGGAATAAATGAATTTGACCTTTAAGCTTTTAATGCTTGCACTAATATGACTAGTTTCCTTCTTTTGCAATAAACTACAGTGTTTTTTTCAAATTGTTAGATGCAACACAGTTTGTTTGTCTGCATTATTTATTTACAGTGAATTGAGTCCAACCATGCAAAAGAAACCGCCACAACCGATAAGATCCAGGACTACATCTACGACGTCATCAACCTCACAATCAAGTACACCAACATCATCGTAAGTAGTCCTTTATAAACTTATATATAGAGCTTTACAGTTCTATATATATATTACTGTTTTATTTGAGGAGAGAAAACTAACCATGGTTTCACTATGTTTGTAGGATTAGTGGTGCTGGTATGTGTGTACGGACATTGTACACATGTGAAGCTGAGAACGATACTGAATTGTCTTTTGTTGCCAATCAAATTATAGTAAATGGTGAGTTGAATCACTTTCTTGGTTTAGAATTTCTTCTTTTCATTGTCTTATGTGCAGGTTTGGGATCCCTAATACACATACATATTATATGAGTGAGAGAGAAAAACTCTTCACCACGACCAGATAGAGTGACATTGATATAGTGATCTGATAGAATTTCTTAATCTAATTATAATTTTTTTAAGTTGGTAATACATGTATGAAATTAAGTGTGAAAACAATGACAGCTACATACAATCTATTTACTCTCTTTCCCAGCCATCTTCAAAGTGACCTAACTTAATTTTTGTAATTCAATTGTGACTCAATATTCCTAAAATCTCTGTTGATACATGATTGTATACATATGCTCCTGATCAGACTAAAAATGAATAGCTGAGTAGCCATCGTATTCAAAGTGGTCTAAATACGTAAATTTGTGTAGAGTGCAGGTCCATTCTGTCTAAATGTGGAATATTGATATCTTCTGTTTATATAACGGGACACAATCATTATTGTTTGGAGGTATGTAAATATATGGTAAAACAGCCATTGCGAGTGTCGCTGCGAGTTTGCAATGGCGAAAAAACAGGCGATTGCACGTTCGCAATGGCAAAAAAAAATGGCGATAGAGAGTTCGCAATGCCACAAAAACAGTCGACTGAGAGTTCACAGTAACATTATGATTTATATAGTTGAGCGTTGCTACAGTGGAAAATAGAAAACAGTTTTGAAACGTTGTGTGAACCATCAAAGGTATTTCGACAGTCAACCAATGGTAGATGTGGAGAGATTTGACACAGCACAATAAAAGTCGAACTCTCTCGCAAAGATGTTTCATTTGGTGAATTATTTGGGGGGGAAAGCGTTGCGACAGGATGTAATTCACAGCGTTCCACAGAGTCATTGTATTCATAGTTCTAATGACAAAATGACCCAGAACGTGGCGTGCAGTCTGCAGATAGCGGTACGTTTCACCGGCAAACTGCACTGCAATCTGAATCATTACAAAATGTTTTTCCGTACATTTACATACCTCTTGTTTGGAGATTTGTTGAAATTAAAAAAATTTACTCATTTTCAATCATATTTGGCACATCATACATATTGGAATACATGTCCATGTCAGTTTGTTTCATAAACAGATCAAAGATGGCCATCTGGCATTCATCTTGTTTTAGTCCCTGTTCGAACGAAGTCCGAAAACGAGGACTATTAATTTGGGTTCATTCTGTACGTACGTACATACGTCCGGAGCTATATCTCGGACACCCATTGACGGATTTCATTCAAACTTTACATGAAGACAATACATAATGTCTTACATATGCACGTCAAGTTACTTTATGATCGGAGCAAAAATGGATGTAAAATTTGCTATTTCTGATATCTAAGCGTGTCCGCAGCTGTTTCTCAGAGATGACTGGGCCGATTTGGATCAAACTTGGAAGGATGATCATACATATTTGGTCATAGGTGCACGTCATACTTTTCCTGTGATTCAAACAAATATGGCCGACTGGCGGACATTTTGTTTTTCATGGTACCCATGGTACTTTCTCTTGAATGGCATGAAGGTTTCTGTCTAAATTTTGTACAAAGATAGTATACCAAGGTATACATTTGTACCAACATTATTTTTGTGATTTGATTCAATATAACTGATGGACGCCAAAATTTCCTGTAAAAGCGTTAAATCATGAGATGACTAGGCCAATTTAGATCAAAGTTGATATGTTGATCATACATATTGGGTTATAGGTGTACGTCATATTTTTTTTGTGATTCGAACAAATATGGCTGACTGGCGGCCATTTTGTTTTTCATGGTACCCAAGCCTACTTTCTTTTGAATGCAATGACTGTTTCTCTTTAAATTTTGTTCAAAGATAGTATACCAGGGGATACATCAACATGAACATTATTTTTGTAATTTGATTCAATATGACTGCCCAATGTCCAATTCTCTTGTAAAAGCACTAAATCATAATTTTTTACAAATGCATCTCCTATTAATGGTTTCAATCTAATCTCAATGACTTCATCAGCATCAAATTGATATGTCAGATCACATAATGTTTGATGGGGACTGTATCATTAACAATGACTTGTTTTGAAAATGTGGTATCTTGGACAGGATTTGTAGGTTTTCATTCAAATTTGATATAAACATTATGAGATACATGTCCATGATGATTCATTTCATGTTTCGTACAAGCCTGGACAAATGAAATTTAGTTTGGATACAAAAAATGCATGACTAGCATATCCTGTTTAATTTCTGACCATATATTACGATTTTGGAAGTGTCACTTAATGCATCTAATTTTTGTTACTAGACCAACCAATTATTCACTCTAAATTATTAATTATGCTTTTGATGCATATTACTTTATTTTTTACATGAATAACATTGCCTAATGATCAAGTCATTAACAATATCTTGTTTGTCTTATATTAAAGTACAAGAACAGGAGGTGATGTGACATTTTCTTTATATGATACTATATTCATGTATTTAACTGTGTTATTCATTTACAGTTCGTCCATCCAAGGAACCAGGATGGTTAGAAGGAACCTTAAATGGCAAGATTGGACTTGTACCGGAAAACTACGTAGAAAATATACCATAATCAATACTAGTATTACTGTGAATAGTCAAGTCAACTTCTGACCCAGCAGAGATATGTAATTGATGTACAGGAAGGATATGTAACTGAACATTAAGCTGCAAAACATATTTAGTATTATGAATGTATCTGTGGTGTGAATTACCACAATGTTTGCTGAGTAATCCAGTCTATTCAGTAATATGCAGATTTCTAGGGCAGAAATTCCTTATGCATGACCCCTGAAAGTCACATATCCTGGTACTTTCTAGACCACCATATTCACTGTGAATAAACGAGAATTTTTCAATTGCCTTTTTCAAATATATGCAAGCAGTTGTCATTGAAGAATTATTGACCTTACCTCCAGAAACCAGAATGTTTGACCTCTAGATGTCATGAATAATTGATGATAGTGGTAAAAGACAAATACAATTAAAACCTTCATTTGCTGCAGACTTGTACACTTATCATTAGTTCTGTCCGACTTTTTGTTGATGAATATTTTAATTTGATTTTTCACATTTTTCTATAATTTTTATTTTTAGTCAAACTTGTTTTTTTATGGTGCCATTTGCATGCAACACTACAATGCCATATTTGGTAGTGTGCTGAATAATGCTAATTATGTGCATATTTTTTATGGTGCCCCATTTGCATGCAACACTACAATTCCATATTTGGTAGTGTGCTGAATAATGATGTGCATAATTTTTATGGTGCCCCATTTGCATGCAATACTACAATGCCATATTTGGTAGTGTGCTGAATAATGGTGTGCATAATTTTTATGTAGCCCCATTTGCATGCAATACTACAATGCCATATTTGGTAGTGTGCTGAATAATGATGTGCATGATTTTTATGTTGCCCCATTTGCATGCAATACTACAATGCCATATTTGGTAGTGTGCTGAATAATGCTAATGATGTGCATACTTTTTATGGTGCTCTATTTGCATGCAACACTACAATGCCATATTTAGTAGTATGCTTAATAATGCTAATTATGTGCATAATTTAGTGCTAAAGTGATGATCCCTTATTTGGTATGACTCCCATATATGGTTTGTTATAACTTATTCCATATAAAGCTATTGAGACCATATATGGTAGTGTATACCTTATTTGGTAGGGAAGTAGTGATTGGGAATGACAATACCTTGTATTTAGCAGCTGACTGGTTTTAGTTTGTTATTTCTTAAAATTTAACTCTATTTTAAATTTGACTTTTTAAACTGCCTGTATAGCAATGTGTAAATTTTGTTGTATTGCCACTGATTACTAATTAAGTATTTACACTTTGTGAATTTTTTCTGTTTCTGTCATCTTTGTTTCGTCTTGTTTGGGATCGTTTAAAAAAGACTAAAGAGACAAAATCTTGTTATCAATCTCTTGAAGGGAGGTTTGGGGAAAATATTGCAAAACTGAAAATTGGGGGTCATTCTGATTTCCATGATTTCTTCATTCAGGTCATAATAATTGAATATCCTGATTTTTTCAATCCATGTTTGATAATTTAGTTGACATATTTTCATTTCAGGCCACATTCTGTATTGTCCAGTTCATTTTCTAAGGTCACAATCGAATATTTGTAGATAATTCCACAATTCTATATAATACCTTCCGTGATACAACGCCTACTTTTATGAGATTTCTATTACAGAGAAGTTATTAAATATTAAGCACCAGGTATTATTCCTTTTATATCATTTTTTTAATTGATTTTGTTTTCCCTAGTATATATATATATATCTACATTTTCTGGCAACTTTGTTGATTTTTATCTTATGTAATTATTTTCAACCCGTAATGCCATTCTGCACAAAATACACCCAATTTTTTTTTATTTTTACAAGTCCTGATTCAGGCTTTCAACTTATCAATTATCTACTGATTTTGGTTACCTAGCAACAAAATGAAGTGGTTGATTACCAAATGTACCTATACCCTGTGAATAAAG